GTACTGGGCATAGCCAGCTTACAAGACTTATAGGATCGTACTTATCCCTAAAATTACTTACTACACAGATGCATTATAAATTGTTGTTTTTTCATTTGGTAGTTACACGAACCCTACAAACTAGGTATGATTGGTTATACATGGCAAAGTAAGCCCTTGCCTATTGTATACAGTGACAGCTGACTCAAGATTTTTCTCTCTGGACACTTGTCTCCAAAAGCTGCATTCTCTTGCACTGTATTGTCCTATCTTTCTCAGAAACTGAAATGATTTAGATATATTTCGTAAGATAGCATGTTTTTTCTAAAATCTTCACTGACACATTCTGTAGATACTTATGGAAAGCCAGTGTTGGACCCCAGGGTTCTTCTCATAGTTTTCACAACTCTGGTTATGGAGCGTCTGCATGAATGTGTGAGTTCCATATGGCTACAGGTTTTCAGTTGGATAATGTAGTTATATTTAAAGGAGTCAGTGCTGCTGGGTGTGGGTGGTACATGCCTTTGATTCCAACACTTGGGAGGCAGAGGCAGGTGGATCTCTGTGAGTTTGAAGCTAGCCTGATCTACACAGTGAGTTCACGATGGTTAGGGCTACATGGAGAGCGCCTGTCCAAAAAAAAAAAAAAATTAGTGCTAGTTTCCCTAAGATTTTAGCTGTTTTCTGCAGGGAATGCCCATTTAAACAGGACCAGACACCTGCATTAGTGGTTCCTAAGTACAGCTTTTTGATACTTTGATTATCTCCACTAAAACAAGAACAAGTATTTTTTTTTCCCCTTGAAGTATTTTTAGAAGTGAGCTAAAGCCAACAGTTACAGAGAGATACCGTTCCACAAATCTTTCAAATTGGCATAGACTGAACACAGAACAAGGCCTGACAGTGGCCTTCTTTGTATGCTGCAGATCCAGCCAGCATGCCCAGGGCTGAGCTCTGCTAATGCTTCAGATTTTTCTCTCTCCTTGTTTGGTTTTCCCAGTGTGTGCCTTTCTCCCCATCCCAGGCTATATTAACAGGAAAGACCTGTTGGTAATGAACGGTGTGATGGAACAGTGATTAACAAAGAGTTTCCTCCCTCATTTCCTCTAGTACTGTATCCTGATTATTCAGGAAGGCTGGGACTGAGAAGTGAAGACTGAAAAAAGGAAACTCCAAAACCAGTCTCTCTGCTTATCTACTGACCCGCTTGTCTCAGGGCAATTCATGACAGATGTATAAATCACCAAGTGACTGCCCAGCATCTTCAGTTCTAAAATGAGGCCATTGGCAGAGTTCCTGATTATTGGTTTTAAACCAACAGTTATTAACCCTCCTCCCTCGCCTCTCTGATAGGAATATTTACAGAACTCCAAAACCTACACAGAAAGAAGCAGAGCTGTTGCTGCTGGGGCTCATCTCCCACACCACACAGTCTCTTGGAACATAACGTTTCTTGCTTTTGTATCTGTGGTGAGATCCTTGAGAAGCATCCTCTGTAGGCTCCTTTATCTGAACATGTGGTCCCCGCTGCTTGATGCTGTTTGGAGAGGTTGTGGAACCTTGAGGGAGGAAGTACGTCACTGGAGTGGGCTTGGAGGGTTTATTGACTCACCCCACTTCCTGCTTTCTTTCTCTGCTTCCTGTCTGTGAATAAAAATGTGATCAGCCAGCTTCCTGCTCCTGCCACTAGGGCATGCCTTCCCTGCTATGAACTCTGCCCTGGAACTGAAGCCAAAACAAACCCTTTCTTCCTTGAGTTGCTTTTGGTCAGAGTTTCAGCACCGTAACAGGAAGTAACTAATACAGTATTCTTTGTTTTAAATTGGCTGGGGGATTCAGTGTAGTTATCTAACATAGTGTTTATGGGCATTTGATTCTTCAAAATTCATAGTTTCTGGTTTGTTCTTTATTTTATATCCCAAACTTTTATTTTGGGTTGATTTGTGGGATCCCCAGGCTCTTAATTAAATATTTTACGCTTCATTATCTCTACAATATGTGGAAAAGAAGCAGTGCATTATAGCAAAATCTCTTGGAATAGGAGTGGTAGCCCTGATGCTGGGTCCTGAGGAGCACAGGATCTGGAATGCAGGTTATTGCAGTGGAATCAGTTCCTGAATACTTGGACACTGTTTCCTGAGTGAGTCAGTGAGTGAGTCAGTGAGAGTCTCTCTCTCTCTCTCTCTCTCTCTCTCTCTCTCTCTCTCTCTCTCTTTTTCTTTTTAAAGAAGTGATCACATTGTAGGTTGGCTCTGGCTTGCCTGCCTCTTCTGAGTCCTTTTTGATCTGATTGCTACTATATTTCTATACACAATCGCACTTGCTTCTCCCACTTTATAAAGAAAATGATTTCAGTTCTGTTAGGATGATTTGCACCAGGACACCTCTCAAATGGTATCATTTAGGGAAACATATGCCTTTAAAGCCTCCCAACTTTTCCTGCCCTGTGTATTTTCTCATTTAGGATGAAGAAGTTTGGCTTGGGAAACTGTGTTGAGTTTAGAGTTGTAGAGAGTAGTCAGACATCATTCCTTTTTTTTTTTTTTTTTTTGGTTTTTCGAGACAAGGTTTCTCTGTGTAGCCCTGGCTGTCCTGGAACTCACTCTGTAGACCAGGCTGGCCTCGAACTCAGAAATCCACCTGCCTCTGCCTCCCAAGTGCTGGGATTAAAGGCGTGCGCCACCACTGCCCGGCCAGACATCATTCCTTTATGACTGACTTTGCCTTGTGCACCTCTGATTAATGTCAAAAGAAAGCATCCTTTAAAAGACTTTCTGTGAATGACTTGAAAAGATGTCCAGTGTGCAAAGTACTTCTTATGCGAGCCTCATGATCTAAATTCAGATCCTCAGAGCTCACATAAAAGCTAGAATCTGGTATGCCTTGAATACTTCTAGCCCAAGATGGCTGTATCTCCAGTAGGGGCAGCAGGCGCCTACCTGCAGCTGGGAGATGTTTCCCATCTCCTCAGGCCTGGTGTGCCCTGTTCCTTATAAGGTCTGCACCCAAGGCTGAGCTGTAGTGGTTTGTGTAGGCAAGGGGAACAAAGTGGTTCACACTCCATGGTATATCATCCAATGGAAGGGCCAGCTGTCACTACACACAGGTAACTTGGAGGATTACAGTTGAAACAGTGGAAAATTTTCAGGCACGAAACAGGACTCCATCTTGCTGGGCACCTTTCCATGTTGCCCAGAGTATCCTGAAGAACCATGCCAACCAAGTGGACATCTGTGCCCTGTTACGGATGCAGCTGCCAGCACACAAATTCTAAAAGTTTGTGTGCTGCAGTGAGACTCTGCTGTAACAGTTTTATAAGTGTACTGTGTAACTCTGTCTCCAAACTGTGCCCTCCAAAGGTGTGTACATCAAGCTGGTTCTCAGCATCCATGGTGAGGCAGCTCAACAACTACCACACATATACCCACACACATATGATATGTGCTTCCTCAGACATATGCATGGTTTAAATAAACATAAATCTTTTTAAAACTGTAAACATAGTTTTCTTTCCAGAATGTTGTAATTCCTTGTGAGTTCAAGATCAATCTGGCTTACATAGAGAGTTCCAGGCCAACCATATTGAACTACATATTGAAACCCTGTCTCAAAAAAATAACTAAGGAGCTGGAGAGATGGCTCAGTGGTTAAGAGCATTAGTGGTCCTACTCATCTGCTGGACCCAGGTTTGATTCTCACAACCCACAGGACAGTTCACAGTTGTCTGTAACAACCAGTTCCACAGGATCCGATGCCCACTTCTGCCTCCATGGGCGCCAGGTATGCAGGCGGTACAGACATACATACAGGCAAAAAAAACATACACAAAAATGACTTTTATTAGATGCTAGAATATGTACTTCTTGTAAATATTTAACTTTACAGTAAAAATTTTTAAATACTGGCTGAAAATAATGCAGGAAGAGGTTTTACATATATGCAAATTATCTGAGTTGTGAGGTCGGTATCTTTCATTAAATTTATAAAGGTAAATGAGGCTGGAGAGATTAGTTAGTGGTTAAAGGCTGCTTCTGCAAAGGATCCAGACTCAATTCTGAACACCTAGATAGTAACTAACAACCATCTAGAATTCCAGTTCTAGTAGATCTGATGCTTTCTTCTGCCCCTGATGGACACCAGACACACAGTGCACAGACATGCATGCAGATAAAACACACACATAAAATAATAATAAATATTTTTATAATCCTTCAAAGTTAGAATATGTACATCAGAAATAATTAAGCAATCACAGGTGACACCAGCTGTTCACTATGCCCTCACCTTGTTTTGTGTGTGTGTGTGTGCGTGTGTGTGTGTGTGTGCGCGCGCGCGCGCATACCTATGTACCTGTACATGTGAAACTTAAGGTTATTTTCTTTGGTTGTTCTCCACTTTTATATTTTGAGATAGCGTTTCTCACTGACCCTGAAGTTCATCAGTCAGGCTAGGCTGTCTGACCAATGAGCCGTGCCCATCTGTCACTCTGCCACCTCCCCTAGACCAGGGTTACAAGAACACACATCTATGTTGATGGCTTGTTTTTTGTTTTGTTTTGTTCAGTTTTGGTTTTTAATGTTGGTTTTAGAGTACCTCTTGTGTGTACAGTTTCTTCCCTGTACTTTTATAGGGGAATATGGAAGGTCCCAAAGTGAGCTGGGCAGGTGACGCTCACCTTTAACCCCGGCACTCAGAAGGCAGAGGCAGAGGCAGAGGCAGGCAGCTGTCTATGAGTTCAAGGCCAACCTAGTCTACAGCACAAGTTCCAGGACAGCTAGGGCTACAAAATGAGGCTGTGTCTCCAAAAATAAATAAAACAAAACCTCCTTTGGTAAGGACTAGGGTAGTTGATTAGCAGAGAGCGCTTTCCAAACGCTGGCAAGGCTTTGTGTTCACCACACACAACACCATAAAACAACAGCAAAAGACACTTTTGTTTGTCTTTTCGTGAAATAATCTCATTCTGTGCTTGTTATATATATACATATGTAAACTGATGGCATTCATGGTTTTTCTTTCAGTTTGAAGGAAGGAAGTACTGTGAGCATGATTTCCAGATGCTCTTTGCTCCCTGCTGCCACCAGTGTGGTAAGTTTTACTGCTGGATATAAGTGAAAATACATTTCACACTCATATAAGTCACTATCATAGTTTTGTCTCTATTGTGATAGCATTCTGACTGAAAGCAGCTGAGGGGAGGAAAGGGCTTATGTCATCTGTGCTTCAGGTAACAGTGCATTGCTGAGGGAAGGCAGAGCCGAAGCCTGCAGCAGAAACCATGGAGAAACAGCTTGCTGGTTTGCCATCAGGCTTAGGCCCAGCTCCTTTCTATATTTCACAGTCCAGGAGCTCTTGCCCAGGGAATTGGGCCAGCCATTATAGGCTGGGCCCTCCTAGATAGCTGTCAAGACACTCCCCTACAGATGTGTCCACAGGCCATTCTGATCTGGGGAACCCCTCAACTGGACTCCCTTCTCAAGTGACTCTAGGATGCCTCAAGTTGACAGGTAAAGCTGACTAGAACAGTCATTTAACACTAGAGAGTACATTTTTTTTTCAAATAGTGCTTATAAATAAATATAAAAGACAGTTTATCTATCCTCTCTATTTTGCTATTGAACTAAAGGAATTGTGGAATCTGGAGAGAATTGATTTTTATAGACACATGGGTAAAAGTGGGCTTTCTGCACTGCTTTTCCCTCTGCCTTTGCCAACTTGCTTGTGGTCTGGCCAGGGAAGAGACAGGGAATGTTTCAGTTGACTGGATAACGATGCCTGTGTACTAGGCTCACTCATCGTAGCCACTTCAGTGGTGACTCAACTAGAACATTCCTAGGGTCGGAGAACCTGAATTCAGTGTTATAAATACTTAGTGAAGGAAGTCGGTGTCTCGAAAACACAGCAAGATGGGAAAACAGAAAATACTTTGTAGAGACTGAAGTTACAACACGCAGTGGTAGAAATGTGCTTAGCAGTCAAGGCCCTTGGTTTGATCCCCACAGAGTGAGAGGGTTGAGGAGTGTGTAGTGGGAATGAAAGGAAAGAGTGCTGTAGATTTCAGTTGTCTGTGTCGCCTGTGGACATAAACAACTAAGAGGCACTGGAAGAACTCAGGACATGGAAAGGCTTGGAAAGGAAAGCTGTGGTGTGCTGTGCTGTGCTGTGGTGTGGTGTGGTGTGGTGTGGTGTGGTGTGGTGTGGTGTGGTGTGGTGTGGTGTGGTGTGGTGTGGTGTGCTGTGGTGTGGTGTGGTGTGCTGTGATGTGCTGTGCTGTGGTGTGTGGTGTGGTGTGCTGTGCTGTGCTGTGCTGTGCTGTGCTGTGCTGTGGTATGATACAGTACAATATAGTCAGTGTTAAAATGTGGCTATAAAGTAAAAAATGAGGATCCAGATGAGAGAAAGATCATTTGTCTGTCCTCTTACTCCAACAGACATGGTGTAAAAGGCCTTCTTTTAAATTAGGTTGGTAATCGGGCCTGTAATCCCAGATTCATGGGAAGCCGTGGCAGGAGGACCTCAAGTTTAAGGGCTCACTTGAGGCCCTATGTCAAAAATTAAAAGGGAAAAAATTGCGAGGTATGGAGATGTGATATCTTAAAGACAACTTAGGGGTAAGGCAGTAGCTTATTATTGGAGGACCACTAGAGTCAATCCCTCCATAAACACTTTCCCTTTTATTTATAGCAAGTAAGACACCTCACCACATTCTTTGTGCTTTACTTTCCTTAGGTGAGTTCATCATTGGCCGGGTTATCAAAGCCATGAACAACAGCTGGCACCCTGAGTGCTTCCGATGTGACCTCTGCCAGGAAGTGCTGGCAGACATAGGGTTTGTCAAGAATGCTGGCAGGTAGGAGTTTGCCATCCTTGTTGGATGTGGGGAGACAAAAGGACTGTTCAAGCCTCGTGTATTTTTTTCTGTAGAGAATGAGGTACTGCTCTAGGGTATGGGAACTCAGACTTACTCAGTACCCTGAGAAATGACCCCAGAGCTTGGTCACAGGGTCTGTTACTACATGCCTCCTGTTCTGCTGGGAGTGCTGGGCAGTGAGGAAGTCTATGTGCATCATGGATTATTAGTGGAAGGGAGAGATTGTTCCCGTACTTTGATTCTGGTCTACTAATAGCACAGGAGATAGTTTTCTAAAAGATGGTTTCTTTAATTTATAGTCAGAGATATGAGAAGTATATTTCTGATGATTAAAAAGAACTTAAGATTTTTAAATTCCATTTTTGGTCCTTTATAGACACCTATGTCGCCCATGTCATAATCGTGAAAAGGCCAGAGGCCTCGGAAAATACATCTGCCAGAAATGCCATGCCATCATTGATGAACAGCCTCTGATCTTCAAGAATGACCCTTACCACCCAGACCACTTCAACTGTGCCAACTGCGGGTATCACAGTATCCCTGACATTGTTCAAAACAGTACAGTTAAAGTGAAGGAGCAAACCAACTTCTTCTCTGCAAGCTTTTATCTTATCTTGTTTTATTTTATTTTGCATGTGTGCATGTACACACGTGCATGTACTGTGTGCACCTAGGATCTTAATGCAGGCTAAGCAAATGGTCTGCCATGGAATTAAACCCTTAATTCTCCAACTTTTATTGTTAGACCTGTGAAAGAACCAAGAGCATTATATACTGGCTCTACTAATGATCTGTGTTAGCTGGTTATTCAGTGTTCAATGAGTGAGTTTATTAAGTAGGTAGTAAGCAAAGTAAAAGAACGATTAGCAGACAGAACATAAGAAGCAACATGCAGACAGCTGAACATCACCAAATCAGGTGCCTACAACATCCGGCAGAACTGAGTAAGGCAGCCCAGCTGAGTGAGCATGGAGAAGTAGCATCATCAGGTTAGGCACTCCCAGCATCCAGCAGAAATGGCTAGAGACACTCTGCTGAAAGCCGTCGTCCTTGGGTTATTTTCTATGTGTATTGGTGTTTTGCTTGTATGCAGTATATGCACTACATGCGTGCCTCATGGCCATTAGATACCCTGGAACTAGAGTTAAAAATGATTGTCAGCCATCATGTGAATGCTGAAATTGAACCCAGGGCTTCTCCACGGGCAGCCAGTATTCTGAACCACTGAGCCATCTCTCCAGTTCTCATGTTAAGTTCTTGATTGAGAAATCTCTAGTCAGAGCAGAATGATCTCTCCATGGCTGAGCTCCTAGCTTCCCAGTCCCTCCACAGGCCTGCTTATACCAGTGACTGAACAATGGGAACCTCTGCTGGAAATGGTTCCCCTCCTAGCTGTTCTGAAAGGCTCAGTTCTTTTAAAAGCTGTAGTTGTTTGCTGTCCTTCCTCCCTTCTGTAGCAGTAGAGGGCCAGCCTGCCCCCAGAACAGGGAGTCTTGAAGGACACTTGAAGTAAATATGCTGGATTCTGGGATTTGGAGAAGTGGCTCAATAGTTAAGAGCATTGGCTATTCTTCTAGGGAACCCAGGCTCAATTCCTAGCACCCACATGGCAAAATAAACCCTCTGTAACACCAGTTCCAGGGCATCTAATGCTCTCTTTGAGCCTTTACATGTATGCACCAGGCACACATGGAGTGCACAGACATTCATACAAAGTACTGACAATTTGCCAATATAACTTATTTTTTCTTATTATTTTTTGTCTTAACAGTTTTAATAGTCTTTGACAGTTTCATGTGTATATAACATGTTTTAGTTAAAATCACTCTCATTCTCTTCTCTTATCCTTGTTCTTATAGTCCACTGAGTTTAACTAGGGTTGCTTGCAAGTATGTGGCAGTGGAGTTACTTCCTGCATCATGGACACCTTACCAATGGCTACACCCCTGAAGAATAATGACTCCTCTTCTACCAGCAGCCACTAACTACCAATAGCTTCTCAGCTCATGTGCCCTGAACTCAGTATAATTTGTATTTTTATAATAATAAACAACTGTCTACAGATGATAGGCTGTCCACAGATTCACACTCCTCTGTCCTCAGCCTCCCAAGTGTTGGGATTATGGACGTGGACCATTCCTGGACCCAGCACTGGGAGTTTTAAGGAAGACAGATGGACTGAGATATAATAATGTTATCATAAGACAACGATGATAAACATGACTGAAGTGGCATGTGGCTGACCTTTCCTGTGTCTCACCATTAATACAAGATACTAGTAACAATCTGAAACCCAGCCAAGTCTCTTAATTCACGATTCTCAGATCACCTTTAATGAGGGGAAAATAGAAATTATCAGGGATTGTTATAATTATATCTTTTAAAGTCTTGTAAAAAAAATAAACATCCTGCTACCTCTGTTGGGTACCCATTCAGTAGTTGTACAATAGTATTCAGTGTAATGTCTTTGGTGGACAGGAAGGAGCTAACGGCTGATGCTCGGGAGCTGAAAGGGGAGCTATACTGTCTGCCATGTCATGATAAGATGGGGGTCCCTATTTGTGGCGCCTGCCGGAGGCCCATTGAAGGGCGAGTAGTGAATGCCATGGGCAAGCAATGGCATGTGGAGGTGAGTACAGCCTGCCCCAGGGGAGCCAGTGCTTTCACTCTCCATGCCTCAGGTGTGCTAGCAAGATAACAGTCTAAGGATGAAGTGTGGACATCTTAAGCAACAGTTGACTTTTGTCCTAGTTTATCACTGTGACCAAAACCAAACAAAAAAACCTGACCAAACTAAGTGTGGGGCACACTCCTTTAATCCTGGTACTAGGGAGGCAGAACCAGGAGGATCTCTGTAAGTTCAGGGGTAGCCTGGTCTACACAGTAAGTTCTAGGACAGCTACAACTGACTATAAAGAGAAACTCAGACTCAAAAACAAAACAAACAACAGCTATCTAAAAGCAACTTGGGAAAAGAAAGGGTTTATTATGGATTACAAGTTATTGTCCATTGTGGCGTGAGGCCAAGGTAAGAACTAGAGCAGAGATGAAGGAGAGATGCTGATTATTGGTTTGCTTCCAGGCTATTGTCAGCTACCTTTCTTACACAGCCCAGGCTCACCTGCCCAGGAATGGCACAGTGGGCTGGGCCCTCCCACATCAATTAGCAAGCAAGAAAATAGCCCACAGACATGCCCACAGGCTAGTTTTATAGAGGCAACTCCTAGTCTCAATTATAAATACTGCTGGGTGCCCATCTCCTCTCTCAGATGTCTTATCTGATGGGCTAGTTTTTTGTTTTGTTTTTCAAAGGTTATTTTATTGTATGCATATGAATGTTTTCCCTGCATATGTGTGCCTGGTAAGACAAGGGCATCAGATCCCCTGTAACTGCAGTTATGGATAGTCATAAGTTACATGCTGGTGCTGGAACCAAACCCAGATCCTACTCCAGAGGAGGGGCCCTTCTAACTGCTGAGTAGTTATCTTTGGTTTTGGTTTTGGTTTTTTGTGAGAGTTTCGTTGTATAACCCTGGCTGTCCTGAAACTGGCCCTGTAGACTAAACTGGCTATGAACTCACAGAAATCTACCTGTCTCTGCCTCCCTAGTGCTGAGATTAAAGGCATGTGTCATCATGTACTGTTGCTGAACAATTATTTTAAGGTAACCCATTAGAGCCTCATCTACATCAGAATTGAGACCATAAAAGTATCTGGACTTGCTGGGTGTGATGGAACACACCTTTAATCCCAGCAGCCAGGAGGCAGAGGCAGGCAGATCTCTGTAAATTACGGACCTGCCTGGTCTATACAGCAAGTTTTAGGACAGCCAGATCTATAAGGTCTATATAGTGAGGCACTGTCACCAAAAAAAGGGCGTGGAAATCTGGTTATTAATTACTATCCTTTCTAAGAATTGATTAACTTTGAGGTTACTTTGTTAGATAAATCAAATTACAGTATCTCAAAAATAATCTGTTCAATTTTTTTCAGCATTTTGTTTGTGCCAAATGTGAAAAACCATTTCTTGGACATCGCCATTATGAGAGGAAGGGCTTGGCCTATTGCGAAACTCACTATAATCAGGTAATGATTCTACTAACTAGATATGTGACAGATAAAAGTGAAAATTCATCAGTGTTTCAGCTGTAAAGAAAGCTCTTGGAAAATGTGCATTGGTCTACAGAGATGTATTTTAAATCTTTGAGTCTCAGGATATTCACAAAATAATGTACAAACAATATCTGTCTAACTACCTTTACCTGTAGTCTCCCTTTGCCTCCTCTGGGTGCATTTGATTTTACTATATATAAAGATTAACACATATATCTTTTATGTACATATATGTACATTTAAATGTCCATAGTTTTTTGTTGTTTTGAGATTTTATTTTTAATTTTTTAATGTATGAGTGTTTGCCCGGATGTATGTCTGTGAACCGCATGTGTGCAGTGCCCTATAGGGGCAAGAAGAGGGCATTGGATCCCCTGGGATTGAAGTTAAAGGTGTTTGTGAACTGCCATGTGGATACTGGGGATTGAACGTGGGTCCTCTGGAAGAGCAGCCATTGCTCTTAACCACTGAGCCACCTCTGCAGCCCTTGTATAGTTTTTTGGTTGGTGTTTGTTTGTTTGTTGGGTTTTTGTTTTGTTTTGTTTTGTTTTGGGTTTGGTTTTTTGCAAGGCGAGGGCTTGTTTTTTTTGTTGTTTGGTTTGGTTTTTTGGGTTGGTGGGTGGGTGTGTGGTTGATTGGTTGGTTTTTGGTTTTTCAAGATAGGATGTCTCAGAATAGTCCTGTCTTGGAACTAGATCTGCAGGCCATGCTGGCCTCAAACTTAGCCTGCCTCTGCCTCCCAAGTGCTGCAATTAAGACATGTGCTATTTCCGCCCAGCTTGTGCATAGGTTTTTTTTTTAATCTTTTTAGCTCTTTAAAAATTTTGTGGGCTGGAGAGATGGCTCAGCGGTTAAGAGCACTGACTGCTCTTCCAGAGGTCCTGAGTTCAAATCCCAGCAACCACATGGTGGCTCACAACCATCCGTAATGAGATTGGATGTCCTATTCTGGTGTGTCTGAAGACAGCGACAGTGTACTCATAAATAAAATAAATAAATAAATCTTTTAAAAAAATTTTATATAATATGTTTTGATCATATTCAATCCTACCTCCTCTAACTCTTCCCAGATTTACCCTACCTTCCTATACCCTGCCTTCTTAGAACCCCCAGTTTCATGTTTTTTGTTTTTTTAAGTAACTCATCCACTCCACTTTGTGCTCCCATTTACATCTGTGTGTGGGGCTATACACTGGAGAGTGGTCAACTTACCAGGAGCTACACGCCTAAGGACAGCTGACTCTCCTTCCTCCAGCCCTCAGGTGTCCCGATATAGTTCCTCACTTAGGACTTTTAACCATAAGCATCTGATGCAGTTGTGTTCCTTTACCCCAAATGTTTCAGTGTATATTTCCCTAGAATACAGAACTCTCTTCTGTATCACAGTTATCAGTATTGGTGTAGTAATTTCATTTATTCTAGTTTTATCATTTAGGCATTTACTTATCTATCTAGAGACAAGGTTTCTCTGCAGCAGCTTCCCAAGTTCTGGGATGTACTACCACCCAGCCCAATAATGTTAGTATAGTACTTGTTTTTTTCCTGCTCTAAGATGAGTGTCAGTATTGTTATATTTCTTTAGCCTCCTCAAGTACGGAACATGTTCAGTCTCCTTGGTATATCCTTTTCCCTTGGGCTCTTCTGTTGTTTCTCCACCATTATTTTGAGGTTGTGCGTTCTTGGCTAGAACACTGAACAGAGAGTGGTATGTCTTCCTCAGGGCCTGTCCTCTGTGTTCATTGCTGTCCTGCTGGTGCCTACCTAGGCTTGGTGGTGGCTATGTCTGCACTGGGAGTTACTGCCCCCATATCCAATAAACAACCCGTGAACAGTCACTTTCTGACTACATAAATGTCCTCCTCATCACTTTCTCCTTCCATTTAGTAACATGCAACAATGCTGCCTGCTCTGGGTGGGAATGAGAGTTCCCCAGTGTAGGCTCGCCCTGCTCAGTTGCCCTGAGCGCTCTGCTTGGACAGCCGCCATCCTCCCTTCCTGGGCATAGGCTTCTTTTGTATGTTTTCTTATTTTGGTGCTCAAATTGTCACAGGAAAGATATGTTTAAGTGAAGAAAACTGACAGACTTTCATTGTAACTAATCAATTACTAATTTTCTTTAGGAAGAAAAAAATTTTTTAGTGGTAAACAGAATGGAAATCATATAAATATTTATTGTTAAAAACCTAATTCTAACCCAGCTTGAGCCTTCACCACTTGTTTCTTGTCTTCATTCTCAGCTATTTGGTGATGTTTGTTTCCATTGCAACCGTGTCATAGAAGGTGACGGTATGTATCTTGGGTGGATGGGACCACTTTGTCATAAAAACAATGGTGTGAAAATGGAAAGAAGCTAATTGCTCCTGTGGTTTGTAGTGTGGGCATTGTCAGTTGCTTTCCTCTCGGCATGCTTCCCAGAACTCTACAGCATCGAGATGGGCTACCAAGGCAGCAGAGCTGCTGTAAGCTCTACAGGGTTGCTAGGACTTACTGTGTAGGCAAACCAGGCAGGACAGATTGGCTGTAACACAGAGGAAGCAGCTGTGTTGGCTCATGGTCACAAACCAGTCCAGCCAGAAATTTCCTGACAAAGTTCTAAACAACTGTGTTTGCTGCATGCTTTCTGGTTCTCAGCAGACATCACCTAATCAGGAAATAAAAGGTTAGTTCAGGACCATCGTTAGTGCACTGTAGTCAGTTTAACTCCTCCCTGCAGGAGACACTGTAAAGGACAAAGGAAGTTATGTGCTTAATGTCAACTTCGAAAGAAACACCTCTTTAAGTCAGATAAATTAAAATCGGGAGTTTAAATTTTTTTTTTGAAATGCATATTGCTTCAGGGGTCTTCAAGCCTTGTTAGAAAAGCTCATCTGAGCAACGAGAGACAGACAAGTTGTCTACTGTCCCACGCTGCTGAGAGGGAATAGTATTTTAGTGTCTCTAATTTGTAAATAAAGAAAAATTAAAAGTTAAAAGGACAAAAAAGGTCTAGAGAGAGCTCAGAGGATAAATGCTTGCATAATGAGGACCAGAGTTCTAGCCTTAGCACCATGGAAATGCTGTTAACACGGTGCCACCTGCCTCTAGTTCCTGTGTTTGGAAGGTAGAAAGAGGCTTCCCCAGAGCAAGCCGCCAACCACACTTAATGTATTGGCTAGCTCTGAGTTCAACTGGGAGACCTTTCCTCCATTAATAAGATGGAGAGTGATCCAAGAAAACTCCATGCCAGCCTCTGACTTCTCTTCATATATACACACATGCATGTGCACCCACACATGCACACATGCACAAAGACATGCAAAAAAAAAAATGAAAGAAAAAGAAATAGTCTCGCTTAAGTTGAAACCTACCTTTCTAATAATGTGAAAAAAGCCAGGCATTCAGGAGACAGACACAAGGGATCTCTATGAGTTTAGGGCCAGCCTGGTCTATACATAATGAGTTCCAGGCCAGCCAAAAGCTTCATTGTAAGACCCTGCCTCCAAAAACAAACAACCAAGTGAAAAAATAGCCATAATAAAAAGTGAATTGGTTAGAATCACACAAATAGCATCGAGCTTTTGGGCTCTCGTTTTACAAGGGGAAAAAACCCTTCCTAACAGCATGATGATGCACATGCGTAATTCCAGAGTCAATGAGGCTAAAGCAGGAAGACCAGGAGTTCAGTCCACCCTGGGCTACACATTACGACTCTGTCTCAAAAGGAAAGGAACCTCTCACGAAAGAAAGCTTGAGCCCCTTCTCTAGGTGCCTGGGGAACAGCCATCTTGGTTTTTCAGGGTTTGAAACTGAAGCCCCTCTTCCACAGTGAAATGCTCCCATGTGATCAGATCTCTTTCCCCACAGTGGTCTCTGCCCTCAACAAGGCCTGGTGTGTGAGCTGCTTTGCCTGTTCCACCTGCAATACCAAACTGACACTCAAGTAAGTACTTGGTCTAGTCCATTGTCATTACTAAAGCCAAAAGGTTTTAGATGCCATTTAGAATCTAAAAGAGGGAAGTGATTGATTCCTGTCTCGTTTTTCTCTTGAGTCCTTCTGAAAGTAACTGTTCTTCTTTAATTGTTCCTGTTCTATCCCTTCTTTGTTCTACTCAAAGGGATAAGTTTGTTGAAATTGATCTAAAGCCAGTCTGCAAATACTGTTATGAGAAAATGCCAGAAGAGTTTAAGAGGCGACTTGCCAAACGGGAGAGAGAAGCAAAGGATAAGGACAAGCAGAGAAAGAGAAAGCCAGTGTGTCTGTAAACGTTCTGTTCCCTCCACACCATTCTCATTGCTTCTCTGTGGTTAGTCTCTTAGGATGCCTTTCTTTTCTGCTTGACTTTTTGTCGTTCTTTCTCTTTAATGCATGTTTTTGTGGCCATCAGAGGTTGAAGTCTTGTCCTGTGTAGACTTGGCTCTTTTGCCTTTCACAAGTCTAAAGCTTAATGAGATCCATCCTTACCAAAGGCTTGTATGCACATACCTGCCTCGGCTCAGCTTGTCTGTCACAGTCTGACAAAGAGACACCTTTTCTCTACATCCTTTAAATGGTAGTGGGAACAGTTTTAAAGTGTTTTTATGGCTATTAACTGCTGCTAGTCTTTGGTTTCTTTGCCTAAAGTCATTTAACTGAGGGAGTGTGTGTTGGATGTTATTAGAACCACATGTGTTCTCAGTGCCAAGTGCTCTTAGCATGTCCTGTATCTGAGCAAAGCCATCTAGATCACATAGCAAACCTGTCCCCTGCAGTGCTTGTGCATGCTTACTCCCTGCTGCTTGTGAATTCTTTTCCTTTAGTTTCCAGACTCTTACTCTTGTTTTGTAGAGGATATACTTCAGTCTTGAACATTCTGTTGAATTACTGATATGATTATTTCATCTTTTTCCTCATGTTGTTTTGAACTCTAAATTTTGTTTAATTTTCTTATTTCTTTTTGTTGAAGAATTAAAAGGCAAATATAAACTTCAAACAAGAGAACTAGTTTCTCTAACACAGGAATCATATATTTTAAGCTTTTGCCACCAAAAATAGCTTTTGTTCTAAGACAACATTGGGAAAATATTTAGTTTAGTTATAGCTACAGAATACATGTGGTTCTAAAAACATTTCAACACCCAGAATTCTTCAGTTAAATGATTTTTTAGGCAAAGAAACCAAAGACCAGCAACAGCTGATAGATGTAAAAGTACTTTAACTGTTCCTACTACTATTTGAAGATCGCAGAGAAAAGGTGTCTAGGCCACACTGACGGAAAAGCTGAGCTGAACCTGCACGTGAGACAGGCCTGTTCGTGCAAGCCTCTTACCATCATGTAAACCAAACTGCCCTCAAGTATTTGATTTGCCAATTGGCAACATGTACCATTTCAATCAGCATTAGCTTCTTTGTACAAAAAAACAAAGGGAAGCCAAGCTCATTCATGTCGTATAAAAAGTATTTGTAAATAAGTGGGTAGGAATTATTCTTGTTATTAACATCGTTCTTTAAAATCACCTCAATGCTGGATGTGATAGAATACACTTTGAATCTAGCACTCAGGAAGCAGAGGCAGGCAGATCTCTATGAGTTTACGGCCAGACTGGTCTATGTAGAAAGTTCTAGGCTAGCCAGAGCTACATAGTAAGAAGCTGTCTCAAAAAGAAACAAGAAAAAGAAACAAAATGACCTCCAAACAGTTATTGTTATCCATAACAGTGTATCACTAGGCTTGTTCTACAAAGGCTTTTAAGTATAACTTCACAGCAAATGGACAGGTTATAGAGTTATATACTTACAGAGCTTGGGATTCAGCAGTATTAAGCTCCTGCAGTTAGCTGCTCTGAGTACATTAGAGACAGAGACCACCACCTCAGAGTTGTTTTCTCCAGAGCTATTTATAAGTGAGTTGATACTATGTGTTCTTCTAGCTTTAAAAGAGGAATTATGTTCTTAAAGAATACTTAAGGGTTGTAAATTTGGAAACAAAGGAAAATCATTTGTACAGGGAAAGATGAAATCGTATACTTGCCTAATTTAAAATAGGAAATACATAGTAAAATCCTTTTACCTTAAAAAAAAATTTGTTACTCACATTATAAAAACTATTTCTTTGTACGGCATGGTGGCTTTAATCCCAGCACTCAGGAGGCAGAGGCAAGAGTATCTCTGTTAGTTCAAGGCAGCCTGGTCTACAAAGCGAGTTCAGGACAGCCAGAGCTACACAAAGAAACCCTGCCCACCCCAAAAAAAAGAACAGTTTTTCTTTGCTTTAAATAAATATGTTTGAATAAATTTATTGGTGACAGGCATAGTGGTTCACACTTAAAATCCCAGCACTGGGTAGACTGGGAAAGAAAAATCCCCATGAGTTCTAGGCCAGCTAGATTCCAAAGTAAGACTGTCTCAACAAACCAGGAGGTAAGAGGCACTGAGAAGAAAGCATTGCCTGATGCTTTAAAGTTTGATTGACTTTATTAGGGATGAAGAGAAGGCCCAGTAGTTAAGAGTGAAGAGAAGGCCCAGTGATTAAGAGTGAAGAGAAGGCCCAGTGGTTAAGAGTGAAGAGAAGGCCCAGTGGTTAAGAGTGAAGAGAAGGCCAGTGGTTAAGAGTGAAGAGAAGGTCAGTGGTTAAGAGTGAAGAGAAGGCCAGTGGTTAAGAGTGAAGAGTGAAGAGAAGGCCCAGTGGTTAAGAGTGAAGAGAAGGCCCAGA